TACCTGTTTCCACTCATCATAACCAGTTGTACCCTCTTTGGGTTTAGGATCCACCCAATATTTCTTGAGACCTTTCCTTTTCAAAAATACCTGAACTGATCGTGACCATAAAACATAATTTGTCCCATTAAGCTTGACTGACATCATAGGACCACTAAAAAGAGCAACAGAAGACAAACCAGGGGGGACAGTAGGAGAAGTAACAATAGATATGTCATCGTTCTTGGATTCCATAGCCATAGGATGGCTGAACAGCGTAGAACAATGAGAAAAGGGAGACTGCTCAGTGATGAGCAGTACTGGACAACAATAATCCAAAGTTGAACAAAACAAGGGAGCTTGCTGGATTACTGAATCGACCAAGAAAGTGTCGCTGTACAGTTGAACCAGCCAAGAAAGTGTCGTTGGACAGCTGAATTGGCCAATAAAGACACACTAGACCGCTAAACCGGGCAATAAAAGCTCACCAACCTATTGAACCGAGAACAAAACTCTCATTGGACCACTAAACCGAAAGAAAAACTGAAAAAACCGGGTCTGGGTCTGAAACTGGGTCTGTGTCTAGATAAGGTCTGGATCTGATTTAAAACCCGTGGACTTGGATTTGGGCTTGTTACTGAACCAACCCGTAAGGGTTGTCTTCTTCACAAAACTAGGGTTTCAACAAAACCCTAGTCGCTGGCAGTGCTCACACCAAACGCCACTGTAACCACCACAACGACTACACCACCACACCAATCAACAACATCTTTGCAGTCGATGATCCCTCACCAGTCGACAACAACTCACACCCCAAACGACGATACTACCACAGCGAAAATGAAAGGGGACATCCACAACGATACCACATCACCACCGCCATGAACAACACCAAGAGCAACTCAACAGAGAACCATGAACAACTCAATTTCACGCCTAAGCTTCACTGGTGAGAATGCACAGAGCCAGTGCACACCCAATCAACACCAAGCGAGCCAGATGAAACCAGGAAAAAAGAAGAAAGAGAAAAGAAAAAAAAAGAGAAGAAAGAGAAAAGAAGAAAAAATAAAAGGTGATTAAGAATATTAATAGAAGTCTTGCTCTGATACCATGTTAAGATTAAGGATGAACTTAACACAATAGGGGAAAGACAAAGAAAGGTATTGGCTTAACCTACCTCTCACAATTGGTCTTGTATTTATAGTCACTGAATAGAATGAAAATACAAGTATACCCTTTGTGTGGTATACATATTACAATAAACATAAATCCTAACTTTCCTAATCGTATTATAGTAACTTTCTCAACAAGAGCCGTTATGGGTCCAACGTATAAAAACCTTGCTTCCTTCGCTCTAGGTCATCCACTTCAGGATTAAAGTATTCATGAAAGATAAATTCCTTATAGCCTAACCCCAAAATGTTCCCAAGATTTAAACTCATGATGTCTGATCTTACACAACTCGTTCCTATTACCACTTAAACTATCACTAAAGGTGACTTAAAAAGTTTTGATTAAAAGTGTTACATATTCATGTAGCCAATATTCAGCTATGGTATATATATTAACATAGGCTACATGAAAATGTAAAACTTCTAATCAAAACTTTTTAAGCTGCGAAAAAAGGGTATTGGCCGAGGTTCTTCATCTAATAAACTTTGTATGTTTAAGTCCACAGTGTAGGTGACCACTCAATCTTTTGTTCAACAAGTAAACGATCATATTTCCACATAGAACATAACATTAGGGTTAAATTTTCTCGAAGGTTGTTTAGACTCTTATCATCACTGAACTTCAAGAAACCGGTGAGAAAGTACCTAATATGCATGGGTCCTAAAGGAAGAAAACCATTGTGCCGTCTGCTCTTATCTTTCCAGACATCAATCACGGTCCAAAATTGTGAAGTACCATACGTATGCATGTGGGAGTAATGAAAAGGTTCTCTTGTAAAGTTCGTCTTTCCTATTTCACAGCTGGCTCTAAAGTGCATATGATCAGTAAATACACCAAGTTGCTAAGAAAGAACAATGGGCTCATGACCAGGGGACATATAGACTAGACCACCCCGACATGGAAGATCAGGACTACAATGGTTGACTCAAATGCCTGTTGTCAGGCTGTGGATAGGTCTGTCAAGATCCTTGGTTCCTCGCTATTTGATTCGATTTCACTTCATTCAACCTATTTCACAATTTAACAAAGATTAAATTTGATGTGATTTAAAAGTTTATTTCATAAACAAGTCGTCTAAGCAACGTGTCGCTCCACTTATGTCAAATTGGTTCTTCTTAAAAAATAGTTGGAGTGTTTCTTGGTAATTTTACACTTATGTCAACTTGAGTTCAGCTAGATCACTTGCTTAAGCTGAGGCTGAACTAGAATTTAGGCTCGACAATTGAGTTCGTATTGAATTCAAGCTTAATTTATTACAATTAAATTGAATCTAAACATATATAAACTCGGAAAATGGTTTTGATTAAGACCATATGTACGAATTCAGCCCAACCTCAGCCTGCTAGAAGATACTATATAGACACATTGTCTCTGAGCAACTATGCCATTGAATTTATAGCTTTCAAGTTTTCTGTACAAAATCCAAGAGGTCTTACCTTGAATTTAGGTGTAACAAACGTCTGAGCAACATGGTAGGTCCAGAGACCAAAGTAGAAACAAACCCCGTGATTCCCGACGCAAAGGCAGCTGCAAACATGCAAATTTTCTTTAGAGTTCGGGTCAGCATCCGAGACAGCCAGGCATCACACTATGTCTCACTACCAACGTTACTTAATTAATAGATTCTTTTTTTTCCAAACAGTCAGAGGTATCTAAGTCAGTTTACGTATATTTCGACTAATCTCGTTTGCAATCTAGTCAAAAACAGATCATCTACGCCGAAACTAGAATATTCAGGATAAATTTCTCATAACTTGATCCAAAAAATTCATTTGTACGCCTTTGGGTTTTTAATTTGATCTATGTTTATATATACATGCTAGATAATGAAATATACATTTTGTTATCTTTGGTGACCATCGTCAACCCCCAAAAGATGCTAAATTATTGTAAAAGCTTCATCTCCGGTCTCATCTCTTTGCTTGATACTTTTTTAGGGGCATGCCCAAGATTCGAAAAATTCAAAGAATGTATATAATACGTATACCAATTCATTCATACATTTATAAATCTCTCCCGCCCCCAAAAATATACATTTATTTTCATCAGGTCCCGTAAAGATTTATCCTTATAAAAAGAAAAAAAAACATAGCACAACACAACACCCAAAGACCTAATTCATGTGTCCCTCGATCATGAGTAAATATTTGATGTAACGGTTACACTATGTCAGCAATGTTGATGTGGTGTAACCATTCAATAAAAAAATTATAAAATGGATAAAATGAGATCCATTTCTTATCATCGAAGTGATTATGTATTATATGGTTAGGTGGTTATGAATTTTTGTGAGGTTCACTTGTAAATTTGTGACAATTATATTACGTGGTACTGCTGACGTGACTTAACGGTTACGCCTAATATTTTTACCTCGACCATATTAAAAGAATGTTGAATTTGCTTCACTAATGCCAAATGTTTAGTAAACATCATGCTACAGTGGATTATATATAGTCAAATGGATTATGCTCAATGAATCTAGTTTCCCAAACTATTACATCGATTGGATGTACTTGTTTGTGTAAACTTGGAACATTTCTTCTTGGTTTTTTCATTTCAAAATAAAATAATATTACTTAGACATAATCTATTGAACTAACTAATTTTTTGACCTAATCACTCTGTTAATTTTGATCGATAGTGGATTTTAAATTGTCTTTTCAAGCCGCTACCAATCAAATAGATGTGATAGATTAAATCAACAAATAAATGTTTCAATAGTAATATTATTGCTAAAAATATGTTTTCATTTCTTCATTAAGCATAGGGCAGTGTGGTCCCTGGGCGTTCGGTCGATTGACTGAAGGGACAAAAATAAGAACAAAAGTTTTCTTTGAACTTAATTGACTCATTTAATAAGGCTGAATTTCTTGGCATCTCGCAGTTCTGTTCAAATTTGTCGATCGTATCCATTATCAATAAATTAAATAAGAGTTATTTAATACACACACACATATTTATATATATATATATAATGTTATTAAAACTTAAAAAATTAACTTAATTTACGGACATAATAACGCGATATATTATAAAGTCTTAATGAAAAAATCTTAAGAGTTATAATCATAACAACATGGGACTGTATCATTATCACATCAGTATGTCAACAAATTTGTTTGAGGTTGATATTTTTTTTATTTTTTGGTTCAATGGTTAAGGATGTTTGGGTTAGTTTACACACACTTCAATTAGCTCTCTCTCTAGTTCAAATAAAGACATGTCGTTTATGCCGGGACTAGAAAATTTATGAGGGATAAATTTTTTATAATCTAATCTCAATAAATTGTCAAAATTCAAACTCATGAGGTGTAATTTTAATGATTGTCACTGTTACTAATTTTAGGATTTTTGAGGTTGATGTTTTCTACGTGAAAAATGCTTTTTTAAAGATTTGGACATCTGCACTACTATAAGCCTTTTTATTTTATTGTCATCCCTTCTCAGCATCAAATATAGGTCCATACATGTATTGCATATGTACATGTGCATGTGACAATAGTATGCATACAAGATAGCTCAACAATTATTTAGAAGACGAGAGAGAGAGAGAGTTTTCCACGTTCTGGCTTAGGGTTTCAGACTTTCATTTCCCAGTTGGTGAAGATAGAGCTGTAACTCATCTTTTTCCCAGCGTACACGATAGAGTTCTTAGCTAAGATTGCTTTCGGTTCTTCTCACCTGTTATGAAGGAAGCATGAAAGAGAGAGAGAAGAAAGATACCATAGGTCGTTTCCGAAGCTACTCGAGCTTTTCTCTGAGCACATGTGCGTTTGCTGTCACAACTTCAAAGCCTCTACCATAAAGAGAAACAGAAAGGGTAAAACCTAACTCCTTTTATAAAGATCATGGAGAAAAGCCACGGGATAGAATGTTCTAAGGCATGCCCTTCTGACCACAATGAAGACGAAGACGAGAGCGAGAAGCCAAAAGATGGTGGAAGCTCAAGCAACAGCACCGTCGAAGAGAGCGAGAAAAAGCCATCGATTCGGCCTTATATTCGATCCAAGATGCCAAGACTGCGGTGGACACCTGATCTGCATCTTCGATTCATCCAGGCTATAGAGAGACTCGGAGGACAAGACAGTGAGTTCATAGGGCTACAAAACTCAATCAGCCGTAGATCGATCTCAACTTTTTTGAATCGTTTAATGAAGGTTGTTCTTTCACAAAGGTGATCATTGGTAATTATTCTTTATTCTTTTTGTTGCAGGAGCAACACCCAAATTGGTTCTTCAACGTATGAACATCAAAGGACTTAACATCGCCCATGTCAAGAGTCATTTACAGGTTATTTGACTTGACACACAAGATCTGTATAATAGTATCTCTTATTAGTTAATTCCTTGATTTATCATGGTCCTCATCTTTTCCTTGATATATTTTTTCTTTTCTTGTTATTTGGTATATGTTTGTTAGATGTATAGAAGCAAGAAGATTGATGACCATGGTCAAGGTATGCTAAATTCTCTTTCTATATTCACTTCTTTTATTATAGGAAAATTAGGGTTTTCATAAAGCACTGGTGCTTATAAGTGGCCTCTGTATGACAGTGATAGCCGATCATAGACATCTTGTGGAAGGCGGTGATCGAAACATCTACAACCTCAGCCAGCTTCCAATGCTCCAAGGACTTGGCCAAAGGCATGATTCTACCTTCAGGTATGGAATTAACACTCTAAACATACTTACTTTGTTCTTGGGTTTTAAATTCAATGAATTCAATCTCACATGGTGATGCCTATCTTTTTTGAAGATATGGAGAAACTTTTTTGAATGCTCATCATAACTGGCTTAGCCCTTATTGGGGTTGGAATGGAATTGATAAGACTAGGCAAGGATTTGGACCATATGATTCTGTTGCTGAGAGGATCTATGGAAGCAACTATGGCCGTTCGGGAAATCATAATCTCCATAGCAGTAGTTTCACTTTCAGGGCACAACCTACGTGGAGAACCAATGATCTGAAGGATGATTTGAGATCCTTATACAATCATGAACCTTGTCGAGGCCAATCCCGAATGAACCCTATAGAGCTCAACCCTTTAAAGCAACTACAAGCAAAAGTCCGAGAAGAAACCAATCTATACAACAGCAGTATTCCTCTAGATTTGGACACGACAGTGAATCTTCAGAAGCAAGCAACGGGAAAAAGGAAGGCTTCAGATTGCGAACTGGATTTGCGCCTCTCTCTTGGGCTAAATTCAAAAATTGATCATGAGAGCCAGAAAGATTTGGAGGATGATGAGGACAACGGTAACTTATCATTGTCATTGTGCTCACCTTCTTGCTCAAAGATTATCAGGTTGAGAGAACTTGATGGTAGAGAGAATGAAAGAAGGGCAAGTACTCTGGATCTGACTATATGAATGAGAGCATTCTAAGTGAGATCTTGAGGTACTTGTTTCAGATACTGTAGGATCCCAGTACTTGTTCCAGATAATGCATTTGCTGATTTTGTACCATTACAGGAGGCACTAGCACTACTTATCCTTGTTTTCCTGTTTATTTGATCCATTTGTTTGTGAGATCTAGTTGCTTCACTTGATGTTTTGTGAAGATACACACACTATGCTCTAAAAACTTTCAAATACTCGGGGCGGGGCCTGGGGGAGGGGGAGGGGGAATTGGCCGTCAAAAAAAGGTGAACATGGTGATAAAGTTATTCAATCGTGACTTAATTATCAAAAGTTCGAATCACAAAAACAGTCTGTGTGCTGGAGTTAGTCTTGTGCATTTAACACTTCTCAAAATTCGCAATAATGAGAGACTAGTGCTTTTGGGCCAACCTTTTTTTCCATAAAATTGCTTGGCAGATCCTAAACACATGGAATGAAGAGAGGTGTTTTTCATAAAAATTCTACTCTTCTTTCTTAAAAACTCTAGATGAAGGAAGAAAACTTATATAAACTTATACCCATTTGGATAACTTTGTGATAGAAAGCGTGCTTGCAATTGTTGTCTTTCCCGGCCATAAAGAGGAACCCAGAAATGTGGATACCAGATCTTGAAATCTGTTTGTCTTAAAATGTTTACTAAAAAAGACAACACCTGAGACAACCGTGAAGAGCGAAGACATAGTAAAAGAACCAGAAGTAATACAGATACATTCTCAATCTAATGTTTCTTATAGATTTCAAGAAGAAACATTGCGGGGGGAAGAAAAAAAAAAAAAATACAATTACAAGCATAGATTTTAAAACAAAACTTGTAAAATGGCCCATGCAGGTCTCGAACCTGCGACCTTCGCGTTATTAGCACGACGCTCTAACCAACTGAGCTAATAGGCCATTTGGTTATTTATTTTAAAAGACCTATAATAATATTTTGCTAAGAATACTCCAATTTCGTGTTAGGTGTTTTTGAGTAATGCACGTGAAATCATGGACCATTTTGTTCACTGAATGCTGACAAGATAAGCTGAGTCCTTGAGATAACACCAAATGAAGAGGGCGATGCGAATAGATTGACATATTTTTTTGCCTAGCCTCGTAACTTGTGGGGTGACATTCGATTTTTTTTGAATGGCCTCCGGATGTGCATCAAGCCTTGATGCTTGATCCAATTTTGTACTCCTTTTTTCATTAATCTCAATTTATATTTAACAATAAAAAAAAAAAAATGGAGCTGAAGTCCACCATTAAAATTCAAACCAGAATTTAAGTCGGAGTCTGCACTAAATTGCAGCAACGAAAGGTTTTGGGACAGTTCCGACTTTGCCCAACACATGTTCTACATACTGTTGACACGAACTTCAGATGGCAGCCACTTCTTCCACAAATGTCTTCGCATAGTTTAACACCTTACTTCCAGCTCTTACCAAGTTGCTATACTCCATGGACAAATTACTCTAAGGGTAAAATTAAGGTGGTGTTTGATAAAATTAAAAGTTAAACATTAAAAATTAAATGTTGAATTTTAAGTGTTGAATATTGAATTTTTTAATTTGCAGACTGTTTGGTATCAATTGAAATTTAAGTATTTAATTGAATTAAACTGTTTGACAAATATAAAGACTGAAATTTGAAAATTATTATTAAAAAAAATTTCATTTATACCCCTTTAGTTAGGTTTAAATTCAATTACACCTCCTTCCGATTTTAAAACTTCACTGCACTCCCTTTTAATTTATTCTTTCAAATTAAAGACACCTTCTTAACGGTAATTTTCAATCTACCAGTACAAAAAGTAACAGTTTGATTATAAATTTTCTAAAAATGTAAAAACTATCATTTTTTATGTAAATATATTAAAATGTCATCAACCCTTTTTCTCATTATATATACCATACTTTTTATTGTTGTTAAAAGTTAAAAACGATTTGATGTTCTAGAAGATATAAGGGACTGAAGTCAGCCATTCTTTTTTAACTCATTCTCTACAGTGATCGATCAATACATAAGTTAGGGAAAAAAAAAATTTAGCTTTTGTTCTTGCATATTTGTAAATGTTTTTTCATGCAGTTTTTTTTTTAAAAAAATTTCATGTAGATATTTTAAATTTTTTTAGGCAATTTTTTTTAAAAAATTTCATCAAGTTTTATTTTTTAATTTTTTTTTCATTCAAATAGTTAAAAAAAATTTTAAAAAAAAAAAATTTCTTGCAGATAGTTTTAATTTTTTCATGAATTTTTTAAAAAAACTTTCATGTATTTATTTATTTATTTCATTTTTAAATTTTGTTCATGCAAATTTATTTTTTAATTTTGTTCATGCACATTTTTTATTATTTTTTCCTTCCATTTTGTTATGTGATATATTATTGTAGGATTGATGTTTTCTTCAACTGTTGGTGGAGATTGAGATAAAGACAGAGATTAATGTATATGTCAAAATCTCATCCATTTCTAACTCTTTTGCTATCGTTTGTCTTTCACAACGTTACATGATCACTCTTCACACATTAACCTTTATATATATAATTAAATATTATTTGATAAAATTTATAATAATTGAATTAACTTGGTTTTAATTTGATAAATTTAAATATTAATTTGGTATTAATTTGATATTTTATATTCAGTGTTGAATTTATAAAATTTAATATTAATTGAATAAATTTAAATGTAGCTTTAATAAAATTAAATTTTCATTTGGTGCTAAATTAAATAACTAACACTAATAAAATTAAATGTTGAACTGGTGTTAATTTGATGAAATAAAATATTAAATTAATATAACTAAATGCTAATTTGATAAAATTAAATATCAATTTGTGTTGATTATATGAGATGAAATGGTAATTTAGTTTAAATTAAATAAATGACATTAATTTAATAAAATTAACTATTAAATTGATGAACATAAATGTTTATTTAATAGAATTAAAAGGAAGTGCATTAAAATTTTAAAATCGAGAAAGGTATTGTTAAAGATAGGTCTATTATAAAAGGTGTTGTTAATATTATGTCTATTTACAATGAGTGCAGATAAAATTTACCCTATAAAATATTTAAGGGCATTTCTGTAAACTAACAATTGTCATTAACGCCGTAATCCAACAAATACTGATAAGGGGTGACAATAAAATTTTAGATTCGGGAGGGGTATCATTGAATTTAAACCTAATTACATGAGATATGTATGAAAATTTTCCTTATTATTATTATAATTATTCCCTTCTTTTTAACCATCTTTCCGAACCTACCTTATTCTTACAATCACCATCTCAATGTTGGTAATAGTGGTGGTGGTGGTGTTGACAATGGTGGTAGTGATGGTGGCACAATAATTGTGGTGGTGACAACGGAGTGATAGTAGTGACGGTGACACAATGATAGTGGCAATGATGGATTGGCGACACAATACTGTGGTGACAGTGATACAACGGTGATGATGGTAACAGTAATGACACAATGGTTTTGGTGGTGATAAATTGTTGACACAATGGTGATGGTGACATAATATTAGTGGTGGCAGTGACACAATAGTAGTAATGGTGGTAGCAGTGGCACATTGGTAGTGGTGGTAAATGATGGATATTCAAAAGTTAAGCGCGTAAAATGTATTGATGGTATATTTTTTTATTATGAGAAATTGATAAAATCTTTACTAACTAACATTTTTAGCATGATAAATAGGTGATTTTTTTCTATTTAAAATTTTAGCCTATTTTTAAGAAATACTTAAAATATTAAGTGATATGAGTTTTAAGCTATCAAATGAGTCTAATTCATTAAGGGATCATTTGATAACATATTAAGGGATGTATTAATGAGTCAAAACCAATTTAAATTTTCTAATCGGATATAATACTTTGTTTGGTAGACAAATTTGATTCCGTATTAATTTCAAAAATATATACTAATTGTATACTTATCGCATATTTTTTACACTATAAACTTGTATTGTAGAGGTATTTTAATATCACTAAAAGAAGTAGTATTATAATCTTACTCAAATGTATTATCATACACATTTACTATTATAATCCCACAATTGATAGAAACCAAGTTATCGTCGACATAATAAACACTGATTGAATGTATATTTGTTAATTCAATATTAATACGATGAATTAGTTCCCTTATCAAACAACGATTTAGACTAAATAATTTCTATTCAACACTTATATTGTATATTATTAAACACTAGATAAAATTATGTATTCTAATACACCATTTGATTTTATATTTAGTCCATGTGTATTGTATTAAACTAGATTCCTTTATCCAATTCATCAGTTCTAATAAGACAACCAAACGGGCCATGTTAGAGATGTAAAAGTGCCTTCCACTTCGAATAGCGAGCCTAAAAGATCTAACGATGAAGATTTAAGTGAAGGAGAGCAACTGATTAGAAAATATTCTGAATTCTTGAAAAGTGAAAGAAAAAACAAAGAGAAAATTGATAGCCATAAATAGTATTTAATTTTAAGTCTTAAATAGTATTATCAAACAGTACCTCACGTACTGAAATAAGAAATTTTACATCCCAGAAGTTGCTATAAGTAAGGATTAAAATTACGACAAAATAAGATTGATTCCAGTATCTAGCATCTATTTTAAACATTATTAGGAGTGATTTTAGATTAGACTTGCTTTTAACTTTTGTGGCATACTTTGAGTCCAAAAAATTTGAACTTAATCTAAAAGGTGGTAAATTTTAGTGTTGTACTAACTTTGAAGTTTTGTGCTTTATTATGTATCAGTATATCTTAAGCTTGGAAGTTTTTTTTTTAAGGGGGAGCTCACGTGGTAATAAAAAAAAAAGTTATAAATTTAAACGTCATGAGTTTAAATTTTGATCATTTTTTTTGGGGCTAAGTCATAAATAATTTATTCCTCATGAACACCATAATTCTGACATGAATGACCATTATTTGATCGAATTGGACAAATGATTAGTCGAGGAGCAATGCTATAGAGACC